CAGTGGCTGAAGCCTCTGACTGACCAGACACCTCCGCACCCACCCCACCCCACCCCTGCTCTCTGGGGGTATGGAAGTCCCTTGGCAGAGTTTTCCATGAGAACAATGCAGGTCTGAAGGTTCTTGTGCTCAGCCTGATCCCTGCTGGCCCAGTGCTCACCCTGAGATGCTTTGTGATGACAACTCAGTCTACTGACTCCATCAGAAACCGTTACAGGACATCCCAGAGCTTCAATCGCATAAGACACAGTCTCAGCAAACAGAATTATCATCTAGCTGGATAGAACACAGGAACAAAAGTGTGAACGGTATTATAGCACAACCAATGGCAAGAATCAAAAAAGCCCCTATACATGTTTCGATGCTGTTCTCTTGAAACATCCCACCCTCGCCTTCTCCCTAGGGTGAAACAGATCACCAGCCCAGGTTGGATGCATGAGACAAGTGTTCAGGCCTGGTGCACTGGGAAGACCCAGAGGGATCGGGTGGAGAGGGAGGTGGGAGGGGGGACCAGGGTGGGGAATACATGTAAATCCATGGCTAATTCATTTCAATGTATGACAAAAACCAGTGCAATATTGTAAAGTAATTAGCCTCCAACTAATAAAAATAAATGAAAAAAAAACAAACGCCTCTATACCATAAAGGCAGGGCTTCCCTGGGTGGCTCAGATGGTGAAGAATCTGCTTGCAATGCAGGAGATGCAGGCTCGATCTCTGGGCTGGGAAGATCCCCTGGAGAAGGGAATGACAAGCCACTCCAGTATTCTTGCCTGGAGAATCCCATGGACAGAGGAGCCTTGTGGGCAGCACTCTGCGGGGTCACAAAGAGTCAGACATGGCTGAAGTGACTTAGCACACATGCATGCAAGTGCGGTAAAAGCAGCTATGAGAGCAGAGGGGATTCCACAGTGCCCAAGTTTGGCCAGGACTGCATGGGATTTTGCTGATGGCCTCTCCATGACTTCTTGTTGCTGTTTAGTCACTCAGTCTTGTCTGACTCTCTTGCGACACTATGGACTGTAGCCTGCCAGCCTCCTCTGTCCCTGGGATTTCTCAGGCAAAGATACAAGAGTGGGCCACCAAGACTTAGCAGCCTATTAAACGACACCTTTGTAAGCAGGTCCATGAACAGTGAGGCTGGTGCCTGGACAGGAGGAACAGGGTTGGGGGAGACTGCCCCAGCTTGACACCCTCCTTCTGTGCATGTGACTGGCAGGGGTGCTGCCTGCAGAAACCAAGGATGATGGCAGAAGGAGCCCAAGGGGTGGAAGAAGAAGGGCCCCCACCCAGCAGGCAGACCCCAGCCCTGCACTCACCCTCCAGTGCCCAATTTCCCTTCGCCCCCACTGTGTGCATCCAGGACAGGCCCACAGACCCTCTGAAGGGCCAACCCCAGGCTGCTCAGAAGCATGCCTTTCACTTAAAGTTTAACCTGGTGCCGTGCGTAGCCCCACCAACCATCTGTGCTTTCTTTCCATCCTTCTGTTCATGATCTGGGGGGCAGGGCTTCCTGTCTCCAAAACTTGTTCCCAGTCTCCTACTCACTGTGACTCTGTTTCTCCTCATACTCACTGCTCCCTGTGCCCCCTTCCCAAAAGATGAAGGAAAAAAAGTAATAAGGTGAAAAAGAAGTGACGTGTGTCTGAGCCATCAAAGCAGGCCGAGGAGGCGGGTGGCATGGCTGGCCATCCTTCTCAAGGGGGAAGGGGGATGCTGGGGGTGCAAGAGGACCAAACAGTGACTGAAGTCAAGGTTAGACCCCACCCCCCACCCCACCCCAGGCCTAAGGGTCCCTCCAGTCCGTCACACCCCCGCACCTCCCCCACACGGCTTCCCTCATTAGGGTCCTGACCTTCAGTCTCCCTGGTTGGCTTTGTCACGTTCAGCAAAGTTATCCTGATGCCCTGAAGTCTTCATCTCGCAGTTTCTTAGAATTCAGACAGGATGTGAGCAGTGAGGCCCAAACACAATTGCATTTTTCTTTTATTTCTCAAGGCTTCATACATACATAAGGTACCAAAAAACTGCAGGAAAGAAATCAAGAGGAAGACTCACAATGACCACTCCCAAGTGGCCCACTTGAAGATTTGGTGGTGGTGGGGTGGACGGACAGAGGGAGCTGACGCCACAGGTGCCCTGTTGGTGACAGGATCCCGGGTCTGGAGGCAGAATGCACCCCTTGACCTGTGGTCATCAGGGCCCGCACCTGTCCCTGCCTTTCACCCGGCCCCTCAGGAGGCCCCAGGACAGCTTCCCAGGCCCTGACGTGGGGAACTTTCAGGGCTGGGTCTGGAGGGAGGTCTTTCCGGGTCATGGTCGTGCAGAGAGCTGGCCTCCCAACGCGAGCTGCCCTAAGCTGGAGGTTTGCGCCAGGCGAACTGGTGACAGGCGTAGCTAAAGGCTTCCTGGGACAATGAGCTGGCCTGCTTTCACCTGTTGTTCTTGGCCGACAGCTGTGGGAGACGAATGAGCCAGGGCTGGGCCAGCAGAGGGCAAAGGGGAGGCCAACTTGGCCTCTGTGTGCCCGGTGCCCACACAGAGAGCTGCCCACACAGAGCACTGCCAGTGTGGCCCCTGGAATGTGCCCGAAACTCAGGCTGAGGCCTCTCGGCCAGGGCAGGACCCACAGCCTCCCGACACCTTCATGGCCCACAGCTGTGCTTGTCGCAGGATGTGCAGCCAAGTCCCCACTGGGTGAGAATGTGGTGGTTCCAGGGCTGTGCTTTCCATCAGGGTCTGCTCTGGGAGCCCCTCCAGGCCACACCTGCCCCTCGACCACCCAGGAGCCAACGCAGTGACCCATGACCACCGAGGCTTCACAGCCTTTCTCTGCACGCCTTTCCTGCTCACAGTGTCAGGGCCTGACATTCGGAACTCATCCCCTTCTCTGCCATATTCAGCAAACTTCTTCCAGATGCCTTAAAGTCCTCGACTAACAGATTCTCAGAAATCAGACAGGATGCTAGCAGTGCAGTTCAAACTCAATTGCATTGTGCATTTATTTCTCGAGGCTTCATAGAAAGGAAGCCCCAAGCTAGGTCACTAGAAATAACATGAGTGCTAAAATGGGAACCATCCATAGACAATTAGCATGACCCTGAGCAAGCAAAGATGACACACAAATTCATGAGGCATTCCATGCTTGGTTGTAACTGAACTTATTGTCATCATGATTTTGCTACACATACAAAGTCACTACTTGGTACACCTTAAATTTACCCAGTGTTGTGTGTCAATTATAGCTCAATAAAACCAGAAAACAAAAGAGAGAAGGAGGAGAGGAAGAAAGAGAGGAAAGGAGAAAGGGAGAGAATGCAGGAGGGAGGAAGAAGGAAAACTTGAGAGGAAGATGACACAGGTACCACTTTCAAGAGACCTGCTTGGAGATTTGGAGAGCTGAGGGACTTCCCTGGTGATCCAGTGGTTAAGAACTCGCCTTCCAACGCAGGGGTGTGGGTTCAATCCCTGGTGGAGGAGCTAAGATCCCACATGCCAAAAAACCCAAAAATATAAAATACAAACAATATTGTAACAAATCCAACAAAGACTTTAAAAATGGTCCACATCATAAAAAATAAAAGAAAAAACCTTAAAAAAAAACGATATGGAGAGATGAGCTTACAAGTGGACCTGAAATATTACAAGGACAGCACAAGAAAGAATAGAGTACAGGGTGCACAGACATGATGCAGAATTGAACTGAAATTGCTGTGGAAGTGGGGGGGGGGGAAATGCTCCCAGGCCAAGCAGATCCCACAAGACCCACTGTTTCGAAGGATGGAGTCATATGATCCTATGTGAGTGCTGATTTAAAAGGATTGTGTAGAATTGCCCAACCCCAACCAAGAGGGAGGGAGAGAGGTGCTTCTGCCCGTGGGGGTGGCAGGAAACCCACAGTCCTGGGGGAATGGGGCAGGACGCCCCCTATCATTCCTAAGTTACTGATTAAATGGGTTGAGATTTTTTTTTCTTGAAATAATTCACCTGTGTTTGTGGTTAAAATATAGAAAAGATAAACGAACAGGCAGAAGGAAAGGTAAGTCCTGGGTATTCTCACCACTTCATCCCACAAGTCTTTTTTCTCTGAACGAACACAGTTTTGCTAAATTGCACTTTGCTAAAGAAAGCACTGATTCAGGACACATCTGTCTTAGTCTGAGAGTTGTTGGATGTGTTCACAAGGGGCTCATGGATGGTGATTCCTCTTTTTGTGTGCAGAGGGCTACAGAGAGCTCCTCTTTGGAAATGATGGCCAATATTTGTCACCCATCAACCTGGATGGCTTTGGATAAAGAAACGCAAGCCCTCTACCTGCCAAGTAGGACAGCCTGTTACCACCATTTTCTTCTTCGTTTTCCATGGCATCTGTGACATGGTGAGGGGAGCGAGGCTGATTTCAAACTCTTCTAAATAATGCTCCTGCCTCTCACTTAACCCCTTTGGTTCCAGAGTACTGAACCCACAGGGGTAAGAAAGTGTAGAAAAATAGCCGTGTACCCCCAGATGTAGCCCCTGACCTCCAGGAAGGGTCTACCATGGGAGAGGTGGCAGGTAGATTAAAAAACCCCCACATAGGAGGACTTCCCTAGCAGTCCAGTGGTTAAGAATTCGTGCTTCCACGACAGTGGGCTCAGGTTCAATCCTTAGTCACAAAACTAAGATCCCACATGCCTCACGGTGTGCCAATAAATAAGTAAGTTAAAACACCCACGTGGTACACAACTGAACACACCCACGGGCTTGCACAATGAATGTAAGGGTTGGAGAGGGGTTGAGAAAGAGCCTGGTCCTCCCCCGCGCACTTTGATACCACAGAGGAGGAAACCGGAAACCAGCTTGTCCAAAAGCCTCTCGCAAAGCCCCCAGAATGTCTGTTTCTGAGCTGTCACATAGTTTCTTAGCAGTTCCTGTGCTTCTGGTTGGGGCATATACCCATCAGACACATTTTTGGTGGGCCTGCTGTAAATCACTGTAACTCACGCCATCTTCCTCCAAAAGGGCAGACTCACCCAGAGGGAGTCCATGGCCTTCGCTGGCCCCCAGACCACTCGCTGCACAGGGGCCAGTGATGTAAGTGCTGGTCCCACCGGTGCTGAGACAGGAAGAGAACTCAGGGGCTGTTTCTCTTCTCCGAAAGTCCCTCCCAGTGGAATCGCTGGGGTTTTATAAACCAAATGTCTTCACAGCTGAAATGAATAACCATGACCTCAGCCATCACACACGCAGCCCCTGCTGCTATGCATTTAGCATCACGGTCCGGGCGTCCTGTAAATAACCCGCGTCTGGGGAACATGTGGGGGACGAGCCCACCGTCATGGAGGGTTCTCGCTGGAGGCCTGAGACAAGCCTGCGAGCCCGACCATCATCTGTTAGCAATTTCCCGCTCCCATTAAAGCCAGACGCTGGATCTGTTTGCGTCGTCCAGACCATCACCAGGGAATCGTCTTTATTACTTGGACTTGGGTCTTCAAACCACATCAATTATAGACCTTGGTGTTGCCAATGGGGTTACAGAGGAGGGGTGTGAGATGAAATGAGGACAGTCTTGCCGGGAACAATTCACAGATGTGTGGAGACGGAATCCTGTGTTCACAGAACACAAGAGGGAAAAAAATATCTAGATTTTAGGCAAATCAACACCCCAAATATGATGCCTAACCCGCAAAGCTTTGCATCGGGGCATTTATGCTGCATTCAAACCTAACTTTACGAGGGTCAGGCAACAGAGACCTGGGACCCAAATTTAAGGAGTAATTTTCAGAGTTATGGAAACAATATGCCATTATTATTATTATTTAAAGCACATGAAAAATAGAGTTGCTATTAACTAGCCTATTGGAAACTATAAAACACATAGTGGACCAGCCAGAGAAGACACCTGGGCTTTGTCCCGGTTCCTCCATGAACTTTTCCATGGCCTTGGGTACATCACAGGCGTGGAGCCTCAGTTTCCTCTTGTCAGATGAAGAGTTTAAATAATCCAAATTTCCTTCCATCTCTAACCAGAACTCGGATTCTCGGTGCCTTTAGGAAGTATGGAAATAAATCATTGGCAGAAAAACTCACGCCCAATATTAGAAGTCATCGTATAGTAGCCATGAGGGCTGCTGGACTGGACAAAGCATATTAGACAGAGGGCTGGTTCCTTCCCAGAGTCCACAGTCCAAGACAACAAAAGCACAGTCACAGGAGCCTGGGTCTGCACTACAAAGCCCTGCACCCTGGGCCACTAAAGGCAGGCTCTCCAGCCTCTTGGCAACCATGTCCTGGCTTCCCGGAAACCCCGTCCCCCAGAAGAGGCAAAATTATGCTGAGGGACCAGGGACCCTGGAAAGTGTAGGGAGGTTAGTCTTCAGGGAACTCCCACCCCTCATAGGATGGGCCTGACTTGGTCAAAACACACCCCAGCTCCCCAGGAGCCTCAATGGCCATAACAGTTCCACTAAATCCTGGAAGAAAAGGGACATTTGCAACCAGGAGCTTGCAGACTGTCTCCTCTTTCACTCTCTTCCGTTTCCTGAGAGTGACTGATGGTCACAAGGGAAGTCATTTCCTCTCAAAGGCGTTTCACTCACCTCTGATTCACCTCGAGTGAATCTGCTCAGAATCAGACACACCACACCATGGATTTTTCCTGAGCTCTGATCTGTTGTGGTTCTTGACTCGAGCCCCCGTCCTTCCACTCCATGTAGCTTGTGTAGGAAGCCAGGGTCTGTGGCCGGTGGGGCTGAGTGCTAACCCTGCTTCTCTGCCCTGAACCTGGTGCAGCTTGGAAGGCATCCCTCCCATCTCCAGCTTCTGGGCCAGGGGAACAGGAGGATGAGGCTGTCAGACACAGGGGATCTAGGCCCAGCCGCTGTTGGGATCAGGCTCTCCTTGTCCTGAGAACACAGGAGACCAGGGGCCCTCAGCAGTTACCAGCGTGGCCTTACAAAGGAGTCCAAGCAGCAGCTTTCACCAGGCTTGACATCCATGGAGGTCATACTCTAAGAAAAATGCAGAGACTATTTTCCACTTTGTTGCTGTTCAGTCACTTAGTTATGTCCGACTCTTTACAACCCCGTGGACTCCAGCACAACAGGCTTCCCTGTCCTTCACCAACTCCTAGAGCTTGCTCAAACTCATGTCCATTGAGTCAATGATGCCATCCAACCATCTCACCCTCTGTCGTCCCCTTCTCCTCCCGCCTTCAGTCTTTCCCAGCATCAGGGTCTTTTCAAATGAGTCAGTTCTTCGCATCAGGTGGCCAAAGTATCAGAGTTTCAACTTCAGCATCAGTCCTTCCAGTGAGTATTCAGGGTATTTCCTTTAAGATGGACTGGTTTGATCTCCTTGCAGTTCAAGGGACTCTCAAGAGTCTTCTCCAACACCACAGTTAAAAAGCATCAATTCTTCGACTAATTGTCCACCAGCCACATTTCTCCCAGACTTACCCCCAAGGCCTGGTGGAGGGACCTTCAGCTGACAGCCTAGGAGAAAAAAATAAGACTTCATCCTGCGTCCCTCTTCTGTCTGTCATGTGCCCAGGGACACATGATGTGCACACTCATACGTATATAGCTAGTCGGGACCATGCGTTAGTAGCCCCATCGGGATGGGCAAATGAATGGGGCTTGGCTAAGACTGAGCCACCCCATGGGCTTCAGCTGATGGGAAAGGAAGGGGCAATTCCACCTGCATCCCATAGAGGATGCTCTCAGCCTGCACGGAGGTGAGCAGTCTCTGCCCATTCACACCTATCCTTCCATGAATCATCACCGACTCTACAAGACGGACTAGCCATATGGCAATGGCTTGGGCCTGGCAGTCAGTTCCATCAGACCACAGTGGGTGCTTCCCAGAGGCACTGAGCTCATAGCTGATGCCACTGAAACAGGTGGGGCGGGTGGTCACCTGAAGGAGGACAGGGGCTGGGGAGGAGCGGGTGTCTCTGCAGGTTTGCCTGTCTCTGGGAGGCTGAGCACAAGCAGGATGGCGGACCTAGGGGCTGTGCAGAAGCTTCCAGAGACCTCACTGATTCTCACAATCTGCGGATGACCCCGGAGCAGGCTGCTCCATAGATAAAATACAGAGTGTGATATGAGAGAGAGGAGTGGTGGCGGAGGAGAAGCGGGCTGGGGGGTCACTCCTCAGCCCTGCACTTGGGCATCAAGGGGCCACAGAAGCAGCTGGTGACAGGGGGGTGCATGGTGTCATCCTCATGGGACATGTGGAAATGTGAACCCTAGAGGGTTTTTCTTCCCGAATTTTCCTCTCTCCATTTCAGACTCTTCATCTCAGCACCTTCTGAGTAAAAGCAGCGAGAATGGGAATAACAACATGCATCAAGTACTCTGTGGATGTCGGGCACACTTAGTAACTTGCTTAATCCCAAGGTGGTGGCTTCCCTGGTGGCTCAGTGGTATAGAATCTGCCTGCCAATGCAGGAGACACGGGTTCGATTCCTGGGTTGGGAAGATCCCCTGGAGAAGGAAATGGCAACCGGCTCCATATTCTTGCCTGGAGAATCCCAGGGACAGAGGAGCCTGGGAGGCTAGGGTCCAGGGGTGTCACAAAGAGCCAGTCATGACTTAACAACTAAACAAGGGAGGCACAAGGTCAGTGGGAAGCAGAAAGAGACTCCACATTTCTCTGGCTTTGAGTAGAGGATGGGAAGGAGACAAGGTCTTAAAGAAACTTACAGGGAGAAGGATCTGGCCTATAAGGAAGGAACCAAGGAGAGAAAAAAGGAATGAGAGAGAGGATCATGGTTCCTGGGAAGAAGCCAGTGTGGCCTTGTGCCCACAGTCTTGGCTCCTCTGGAGGCGAGGGGGCAGTGGGAATAGGGGCAGAACCCCCTCCCGCCTCAAGCTTGAAGTGGAGGCGCAGGGCCAATGGGTCATTTGACTGGACAGTGAACATCTCCATGGCTCTGGTGTAGACTGGGTGTCAGGCCACAGAACTGCCCCCTAGAGCTTTTGCATTATGCAAGACCCTGGAAATATGCCCCAGTCTTTGGATGGAGGAGGGCTTCCCTGGTGGCTCAGATATAAAGAATCTACCTGTAATGTGGGAGACCCAGGTTCAATCCCTGGGTTGGGACGAACCCCTGGAGGAGGGCATGAAATCCCACTCCAGTATTCTTGCCTGGAAAATCCCCATGGACAGAGGAGCCTGGCGGGCTACAGTCCATGGAGTCACAAAGAGTCAGACATGACTGAACGACTAAGCATACACAAAATATAACAGTCCCATGGTCGTCTACAAAGCCAGGCATGAAAACCATTTGCAAAATGTAGAATCACACCACTATTTTCACTTATTTTTTTTAATACTTTATTTATATTTATTTTTATTTGACTGTGTTGGGTCTTAGTTGTAGCATGTGGGACCTAGTTCCCTACTAGAGATTGAATCCAGGCCCCCTGCACTGGGGGCACAGAGGCTTAACCACTGGACACCACTGGACCACTAGGGAAGTCCCTCACTAAATTTCCTTTTGGGAAAACATAGTTATTGGTTATAAAATATGCTGTCTTAACAAGCAATGAGTTTATTCATGCATTTTAATGAATTAATGAATCATATACCTTTTTCTTTATTTTTTAATTAGAGGACAATTGCTTTATAATGTTGTGCTAGTTTCTGCTGCACAACAGCCCCACATATACATATATGCCCTCCTGTCCCACCCCCATTCCACCTCTCTAGGTCATCACAGAGCATCAAACTGAGGCTGAATCATACACTTTTAAACTTTCTCAGCTTTAACTGTTAACATAGGCACCCATCGAGAATTTGTCTACAACATAAATAAACAAAAGCTCTTGGGTATCCTCAGTAATTTTTGAGAGTGAGGGTGGTCCCGAGATCAGGGTCTTTGGGAACTGCTATAACAGACTTAGAGCAGGAGGGATGAGGTCGGCAGGGGAAGGGGAGCCAATAGGAGGGCGGATCTGCAGCTGACCTTCAGCCTCTCCAAGCTCACCAACCAAACGAAGATGCTGGACTGATGGGCTTCATCTTAACAGTCTCTAATTTTACAGGCAGAGGCAGAGAAGGACACTGGAAAAAGTCAATGGGGCCCACCCCGAAATTCTGACTCCCTCCAGTGAGCCATGGGAATGCCAAAGGATGGGTTAGAGGCCAAAAATACTTGCCCTAAGACCTGGGGGTCAGAGGGCTCCTCCCAGATCCAGAAGTGGGGATGATGTCAGTGCCCAGGGGCCAGCAACATTCCTGGTCACTCAGGTCTGTGGGTGATGGCTCAGGAATCCACCATCCTTCTGTGACTCAAGAATCTCTGAGCCCAGAGTGTGTGTGTGTGTGTGTGTGTGTGTGCACACACATGTATGTCATGTGTGTGTGTGTGTACACATGTATGCCATGTTATGTCTGTGTCTGCGTGTATGTGTGTGCATGTGTATGCCATGTGTGTACACATGTATGCCATGTGTATGCACCTGTATGCCACATTGTGTGTGTGCACGTGTATGCCATGTATGTATCTGTGTGTGTCTGTGTGTGTGTGTCCACATGAATGCCATGTGTGTGCTTGATTATGCTGTGTGTGTGTGCCCGTGTACACCATCAAATGCTAGAAGTAATCCAATTCCGGCTCTGACGTCCTTTCAGGGAAGCCTCTGTGGAGGAACAAGCTTACAGCCTTGTTGCTCAGTTGCCCATGCCCCTCCCCGTGTTGGGGCCCCAGCAAGCAGAATTACTGAGGGTCAGTGGGGGTGACCCCAACAGCCATGACACCCCTTCCTTTCTACCACGTCCCTCGCCAGGGCTGGAACTCATGCTCCTTTGCAGGATTATTGGAGAAATGCTCCAAAACACTGTTATAAATACCCACTAATGAATAAACACGGGTTATTTCTGAAGTGTGCCCAGGAATAGCCAACTGCCCAAATAGCCAAGGTTGTTCTTCAGATCCTGGGAAAAATAGAAATATGGGCATGGTTTCTTTTTCCATGGCCCAAAGCAGAAGCATTGTGCATACATGCCTAATTTTAGGTTTCTGTTTCCATTGCTTTTTTATCTTATCAAGTTATAGCTTGGGGCAAGAGATAGGAGGGGGAAAGAGAAGGGAAAACAGTAAGGAAGAAAAAAACCGAATAGGCAAGGAAGATTCTACTCATCTCTTTCAGCTCTTTCCAAAACATTCAGAAAAACAAAATAGTCTAGGACTTACCTGGTCATCCAGTGAATAAAAATCTGCCTCCCAATGCAAACGTTCCAGGTTCAATGCCTGGTCTGGGAAGATCCCACATGCCATGGGGCAACTAAGCCTGTGCACTACAGCTATGGCGCCCACATGCCACAACAGATGAGCCCACACTCTAGAGCCTGTGCTCCCCAACAGGAGAAGCCACACAGTGAGAAGCCCACGCACCACAACGAAGAGTAGCCCTTGCTCTTCGCAACTAGAGAAAGCCTTCACAGCAGTGAAGATCCAGGGTAGCCGAAAACAATTTTCGAAAAGGCATAGTCTAGGATTCCATGCTTCGTTGACCCTGGCAGACATGAATAATAAAGACACAAGATGACAAGTGAGTCATAGAACGATGGTATCAACTTCCAGGTCCCAAAAGAAACAGAAAAAGACAGAAATCTGGGAGAAAGAGAAAGGCCACTATAACAACCGCTGTGACTTGAGGCACCAGAAAAGGAGTTTAAATGTAAGTCACCAGTAGTCACATACAGATGTGAGAGTTGGACCATAAAAAAGGCTGAGCCCCAAAGAATCAATGCTTTCAAACTACAGTGCTGGAGAAGACTCTTGAGAAACCCTTGGACTGCAAGATCAAACCAGTCAATCCTAAAGGGAATCAACCCTGTATATTCACTGGAAGGACAGATGCTAAAGCTGAAACTCCAATACTTTGGCCACCTGATTCGAAGAGCCGACTCATTGGAAAAGACCCTGATGCTGGGAAAGATTGAGAGCACAAAGGGAAGGGCGTGACAGAAGATGAGATGGTTGGATGGCATCATTGATTCAATGGACATGAGTTTGAGCAAGCTCCAGGAAATAGTGAAGGACAGGGAAGCCTGGCGTGCTACATTCCGTGGGGTCACAAAGACTTGGACACAACTGAGCAACTGAACAACAACAACATCCCATAAAATAACTAGGATTAAGCACCTGTGATCTGCCTCGCATTTTCTCCATGTATCATCTCGTTTAATCACCAGTAAGCCTTTGCTCCCTGCACAGATTGAGTGGCCTCATCTCTCAGCTCTTGGTGGTCTGGTGGGTGTCAGGATCTCTGGGCCTGAGGCCACAGCCTGTCCACCACAGTGCAGCCATCTGCCTTTCCCATCCGTCCCCTCTGGATGGCAGAGGAGCCCTCAAGGAGGGTCCCCAGCATCAGTCAGGCTTGAAGCTGCCCCAGCCCTCTGCCCAGTACCCACACCACAGACCCAAGGGCCGAGTCCAGCCAAGCACCACCCCGCCTCCAGAGTGGGGAGAGAAGCCTGGACAGATCCTCCCTCAGGGCCCGCTTCACTCTGGACTCCTCCGGCGAAGACCTGAAGGTGAGTGGGAAACCAAGGCCCGGGGAGCAGGATGCCCAGAGCGGGCGTGAAATCCACGTGCTGTTCCTGAGCTGGCCTCACCCCCAGAACCCGGTCAAAAACAACACAGTAAGTCCCAGGAGAGGCATCAGCTGAACTGAGTGCCACTGCCTCTAAGACCTAATAAGTCATGTCTGTCTCCACCTGAAAATACAATCTGGCTTCAAAACCAGCCCGCGGGCCTATGCAAGGTGCAGGAGCAGGGAATCAGCTCTGCCCTCAAAACCAAAATCGTGCTGACGAGTGGGCACGGCCCTTGCAGGCAGGCCCTGCAGAGGTCCTATCGGGCACACTAATGTCCCCAGTATAAGCCCTGATGGCTATATCAGAACACACCTCACCCCCTCAAGTTAAAACTGTCACATCTCTGCTTCTCTCACCTTCTTAAGGCACTTTTTAAAAAATCTTTATTGAATTGGCTACCATATCATTTCTGTTTTATGTTTTGGTTTTTTGGCCACAAGGCTTGTGGGAACATGGGGCTTCCCTGGTGGCTCAGAGGATAAAGTATCTGCCTGCAATGCAGGAGACCTGGCTTCAATCCCTGTGTTGAGAAGATCCCCTGGAGAAGGAAATGGCAACCCACTTCAGTATTCTTGCCTGGAGAATCCCATGGACAGAGAAGCCTGGCGGGCTACAGTCCACGGGGTCGCAAAGAGTCAGACACGACTGAGCGACCTCACTTTCTTCTTTCTTTCTTTCTTTCTTTCTTTCTTTCTTTCTTGTGGGATCAAACCCACAACTCCTGCACTGGAAGGTGAAGTCTTAACCACCGGATGGCCAAGGAAGTCCCCACCTTCTTAAAGCACCTTAAGGCAGATTCTCCCACAGTGGACAGGCTGTGGGCTCAGGCCCAGGGATCCCAATACCAGCCAGACCACCTGAACACAGTGGCAGGGACCACGATGTCCCCTCCCGTGACAATTACTTCCCATCCAGCAGCCCGTGAGCTCCAAACTCTTTATCAGAGAGTGTGAAGAATCAGGTGTCAAAATCTGGAAATCTGGACACACTCCACATCCCCCCACCTTCTGGCTTCAGGCCACAAGGACAGGTGAGAGTATATCACAACGCGATTGGACTGCCAGGAATCAGAAGTGATAAGACCACCCGGGCAGCTTTTGTTTTTCCCATGATGTGGCTTTTCTTGATCCATGAAGCACTCTGGTGAAACCATCTTTAGAAATCTTTGCTATTTGCCTGCATCAATTATTGCATCAGTTATAAACATATCATGCTTACTTCAGGTCACTCCAAGGCAAGTTCTAATCCGTCCCCTCTAGCCAACTGCCCTACCAAGTCCCCCTGTGCAGGTATTCAGGTGCCACCGGGCAGGAACCTCTCAAATCTCCCATTGTGACATCCCAACTTGTCCCCATAATATGCTGAGGTTGTAGATCCTTGAGCAGAATGAGCAACATGATGAACCAAGAGATTCCAGGAGAAGTGTCTGACGACATGGAAAAGCAGAAAAGTCCACTGGAAGGCAGCAGCAGTGCTGGGGACATGGAAGGAAGGAGAGTGAGAGACACGACTGAGAAGGAAGGGCCAAGGGGGTTAGAGGGGCCAGGGGCCAGCAGGGGCCCCGAGGTGCGCAGAGTCTGACAGAGAGGAGGACATGGCAGGGTGGGGGCTGCTGGGAAGACGCGTTTAGCGATTCGGTTAAACGACCCGCAATGCCTGCAGGAGTGGAATCAGGAAGCACCTATTTTGGTCTCAGATCATTTACAGTTTTGTTTTTGTTTGGCTTGGCGGGGTGGGTAAGAGATTTATGGGAACTTGAGCATGAGAAACCACTGTTCCTTCTAGAGAGAAGCAGAGATGGGGATGAGGGGAAAAAATGCTTGGGTTTCACTGTTAAAACCCCATTGGCTGTGGGGTAAGCATTGCTGAGGCTGGCATGCTGGACAACCTGCTTGGCCCCTTAAAAGGTAAGTTCAGCTAAGAAGGTCTTTCCTCCTGGGGATATTTTACAATAAGTGGAGTAGGTCGCCTGCCACACACACACACAATGAGATGAACTCCTATAAAGCAGCTGACGTTTGTTGGGTAACTAGACACAGAAAATATCCCAGTAAAATAATGTTTTACCATGAGGAAACAGCCCAGACAGATGAACGGCAGGGCTGGACTGCAATCGGGTTTCCTGGTCCCTGCACTAGAGTCTGGGGTCCATTCCTGTTCTGCATCTGTACTGTGTTAACTCTTTCATTCTGAAAAGGGCCAGATGTGGACCATTGATTATTTGGTCCACTACCTCCGGGAAGGAAGAGTCTGGGTGCAGAGTCAGCAAGTCCTGTCCTTAGTCGCTGTGAGAGCCTAGAGGGAGACTGGGTCTGAGTGTAGGCAACTCTGGGTTTGAGGACCCAGGGGGCTCTGTGTCAGGGATGAGAAGGGAGTCCCCCCTCTGCGGGGATGCAGTTTGAACTTCTCTCTTTGCATCTGTGGTCGGTGAGTCACCTGAGTGCCGGCTCACCCAGCCGTCTCCTCCCAATGACCTCCTGGCTCACTTCTGAACACCTGGCCACTGCCGTCGCTGTGGGGACCACGGGCAGCCGAGGGCATCTGTGCCCTCCCCACCGTCCACGCACACTCGTTTACACACTGAGCTCTCATGGAACACACTCAGTGTCCACAGGCTCCCAAGGCCTCAGAGTTTTGGGGAGCTGGCCTGGGCCGGCGGTGCCTGCCTGTGGTCACTGCTGTTTGCCAGTCGGGATGCACAGCTGAGGAGGAGGGAGAAGGTGCAAGGAGGCTGGTGTGGTTTACGGTCACAGGAACGTGGCCACAGACCGGGGACAGGGTCCCGTCGAGGCCTCATTTTTCTTCCGGGCAACTGGGCAGTCAGCTCCCTGTCCTCATATCCCTGATGAGAGGAGGGGTGTAGCAAGACTGGTGCATCCTTTCCAGACAGGAGAAAACCGGTGATTCCTCCCCAAACAGTCCACTGGGCCCAGAGCTGAGGGTCAGGCCCAACATTCTGTGCCAGGACCTCCCCCACTGCCTGTCGAGGCCACAAGGCTTGCCACACTTGGTCCCTCTGCTCACGTCTGAAGACACTCATCTTGGCGTCCAGGCCGTGCGCCATTGTGGACAGCCTCCCAGCAGCAGGATGGGGCAGATCTGAGTTCTCCATGTGCACCCCTGTGCTGTAACCCCGGCAATATGGAGAGAGGGGTCTGAGAGCGAATGGACCTTCAACAATCTTATGAGCCCCCTACTAAAATGTGTGTGAATTGTCAGAGACACCATGAAAGCTGGGTGTTGGGCACCCCCGGTCAGTTCTGTTATTATCCCCAATAAACGGTGGAGAAAACTCAGGCCCAAAGAGGTGAACTATTCTGGCTCAGGTCACAAGGTTAGGCAGAGCTGAGATTTGACCCCAGGTGCTTGGAAAGGCAGTGATGCCCCACTGATGCCCCAGCACAGTCATTACATTGTCTCAGACCCAAAGAGGTATCTCCACATGACCTCCAGAACCCACACCTTTGTCCAGTGGCCCCAGTGTGGGGAGCAGGACCAGGCGGCTGTCACCCGCTTTGTCTTAGAGAGCTCAGCTGCTGAAACACCACACTCAGACCGGGCGGCTGATAAACAACAAAGTCTATTTCTTACAGTTCTGTGGGCTGAAGGCCAAGATCAAGGTGTGGCCAGGATATGCGTCTGGTAAGGACCCGCCTCCTGGTTCATAGAGAGTGTTTTCTCGGTATGTCCTCACCTGGAGAGGCATTCTTTAGGGTCTCTTTATAAGGACGCTAATCCCATCCTCAGGGCTCCACCCCCCTCCATGACCTCATTACCACCCAAAGGCCCCACCTCCTAAGACAGTCACCTTGGAGGTTAGTGCTTCAATATATGAATTTGGTGGGGGACAAGCATTCAGTCTGAACCCTTCCTTTCCTTTCCGGGGCCTTTCTTTGTAACCCCCCCAGGCTTCTCTGTCCATGGTGTTCTCTAGGCAAGAATACTGGAAAGGGTTGTCATTCCCTTCCCCAGGGCATTTTCCCAACCCAGGGATCAAACTCACATCTCCTGCATTGACAGGTGGAATCTTTACCGCTGAGCCACCAGGGAATCCCTTTGATTTGGGTACATAAAAACATTTGTGGAACTCAAAATGACAAGCTTTGGAGAAACGCTGGGGGACTGATGTGGGTGTAGAAGGAAGCTGACGTCCACTGTACCAGACTGATCATTCCTCAGTAAGTGACTGGTGATTTCTAACACATATAACTTCTGTGACTGCCAAGCAGACCCACTGGAGTCTCACATCCTCAGAGTTTTGTTAGCACTCTTGCCATTAATTGACACATTTGTCGGCCTCCACATTCTTCAGTTCTGTTCACCATGCAGGAGCCCCAGGTGACCAGGGTCTTTATCCCAGTCACCTTAGCATCACCAAAGAGAAGCAGCATCTCAGCAAATCTCCTGTCCAACTGGTCCCACCCTTCTGGACGCCCCAGACTCTGCTAAACCAGCAAGCTGGAGGAACCATGGGGTTTTGGGGGAAAGCGTTGTAGTATCAGCTTGGTGTGGCTGATCCATGCCCTTGGGTGTACAAGTTGCATGTGTGTATCTATGCATACGTGTCCAGCACCTTTCCTGGAAGGCCACAGCTATGCCATGAGGAATGGGTGACTCATCGCCCCGCATCAGACCTCACCAGCTCACAGGCCTGTCTGGAGCCGCCCAGAGCCTGGCTCTCATGGTGAAGGCTGTTTAGCTCACTGAAGGGCCATGCCCTGGGCCCTGCCCTCAACCATCTGTTTGGCTTTGGGGCACTGAGAAGAGAAACCTGCTATCTCTTTGGGTAATTCCCTCTCTCTTCAGCTTCTCAAGTAAACATTCCAGAAGGGGAATCAGTCAGGTCTCCAGATAACAACAAAAAGAGAAAACGGTCCTGTAAACCTTCTCATCCAGCTCACCAATCCCCCATCTCCTCCGCGGTTCCCCCACCTCCAGCTCTGCAGGTAACCTCCCTGTCCTCCTTCCTCTCCTCCTGGCATTTCCTGACTCTTACTCATCATTCACTCAACACTTCAGGAACACACTCCAGGCTAGATTTTATGTCTGGCCCCGAGGATACAAGGAGGGATCAGGCAGCACCCCTGCCCCAAAGGTAAAAACCGAGATCGGCCAGGAGAAAAAGCTTGCTCCATATGTTGTGTGTGCATGTTCGGAGGAGGAAGAAGAAAAACTGAGTCCTGGACCACTTCCCTTTGCAGGTGAGCAGTTCAGAGAGGAAAGTCTTCAATGCTTCAGGTCATCCTCAGAAACAGGAAGGCGGGGCTGCTGT